GTCTAGAGTCACGACCAGGCGCGGTGATCATCGCCAGCGTGTTTTTGTTTGTCTTGTTGGTTCTACCCCGTCTTCCTGTGGATGGTCGACGTCACTAGCCCCTGGGACGAGCTGCTCGCCTGCGTGCCGCCAAAGGCGCGGGCTGGATGGAGTGGTGCAACGATGGGGTCGACCGCTCTCAACTTGCTACGCTGCGGCAAGGACGAGCTGTGCGAGCCCAGGGACAGCGTGCACGCGCCCGCGGTGTAGGCAGCCTCTGCTGCGGACCAGTACCGCGAGTTTGAGCTGTCCGCCGCCTACTCGGAGACGAGCAGCGCCTGCGAAGCACCCCTCGTAGAGATGCTCGCCCAGGCACCTGGCTACGCTGGCGACAGCGGCCGAGTGCGCCCCTACAGCAAGCCTCTTGTGGCCTGGCCCGAGTCGACGAGGGCTGTCTCCACCGCCGACGTCGTCTCCGAGGCCGACTCCATCGCGCTGCAGGGTTGGAGGCAGAGCATGCTGAATCCCGAGTCGGTCGCGGCGCAGCTTCGTGAGTCTCTGGGGGTGGTGCGCCCCTGCGTGGATCCTGCGCTTCGCCATCGGCCCAAGTCGCGCGCCCATTTTTTGAAGCAGCTGGATGCCCGCGACACGATGTCATGGCAGGCCGCCAGCCCACAGGCTTCTTTCTCAACTGGTTTGTCATTTGTGGAGAAGCCCAACCGCATGCGCAGGCTGGTTTTCGACACTCGGCTGGGCAACAGCAGTTTCACGGTGCCGCCAGCCACAAGGCTTCCTACGCCCAGCGCGTGGGCCAGCGTCGACTGCGACGGCTGTTTTGCGTTCGCCCAGGGCGACACACAGTGCGCGTTTTATCACTTGCGGTTGCTTGCAGGAGTGGAGTCGCTGTTCTCGCAGCCCGCGATCTCCAATGCACCAGTCTCAAGCCCACCAACGGAGCCCCTATCGGTAGCAACGACGTCGTTCAGCCCTTGGTCACTGTGGCCCCTATGTGCTAGAGCTGGGCTCTTCATATCTGTCAGAGTGCCCTAACCAGAGCTCTCTCCGACGTTGGGTTCCAGGCGAACGAGGTGATTCTGGATGGTGGCTGGCCTCGTCCTGTGGTCTCCCCGACAGACGATTTGTGCGCAGGTTATGTCGGCCATTTCTGTGTTGTGTCGGAGAGCCCAGAGATAGCCGCGCCCCGTGCCCGCGCCTTTGCCGACCTTCTCACTGCTCGTGGTCTGCCCGCCCTGGACTTCCCGCCTGCTGTCAGCAAGGGGGTCTTCACAGGTTTGCAGATCGACGGGCTGTCTGGGCTTATTCGTGTGCGTCCTGATCGGCTCGCCCGCACTCGCCAGGCAGTTCTTGCGCTTATTTGACGTGGGCGGGCCTCCTCGGGGGCCCTCACCGCGCTGGTCGGGCATTGTGCGTGGGGAAGATATTGAGACGCGACGCGTGGGAAATCTTCAATGCCGTTTATCGGTTCATCGGCGTTGTGGGGCCTCATCCTGGGCTTCTCTGGGAGTCTGTTGCCAGGGGGCTGAGGGCCGCGGTGGCCTGGTCCTGCTTTGGAGTGCCTCTACCAGGTCTCGGTGGCACTCACGGGTCCATGCTTCTGACGCTTCGCCGTTCGGGAAGGGGGCGTGCATCAAGGACGTCTCCCTTGAGCTAGCTTCGGAGGTCGGCCGAGTTGCTGAGAAGTGGAGGTATCACCAGGGGTTCAGCGTGTCCGCCAAGTCCCATGCCTTCGACGCCACGGGCCCCCATCACGATGCCGCTGAAACCCGTTACCGCGCCACGCCACCGCTGTTTACGCCATCATCGTCGACGTGCCGCCCTGGCTTCCTGGAGGTCCCTGAGTCTGTCGATGGGTTGGAGGGCTGGAAGACTACCCACTCGAGTCGTCACGCCCGCGCTGGGCGTGATATCTTGCAGTGCGAGGCCGAGGCCCCGGGGTTCAGCGTCCACCGCTCGTCCAGGACCCTGGGGGCTCATCACCATCGCATCGTCTGCGTCGTGGACAACTTGGCTCTAGCCCTCTCCGCCAGGAAGGGGCGTTGTGGCAGCCCCCACCTCGTGCGCGCCATGAGGCGCATCGCGGGCGCGGCTCTGGCATGCGGTTTTCGGGCGCTGGTGCGCTGGGCGCCCTCTGAGAGGAATGTTTCCGACAAGCCGTCGAGGGAAGGTTTCTTCGTCGGCCCAACTGTCGAAGACTTCGCCTCGCGCCAGGTCGCGCGTCGGCCTCGGCCCCCCAAGCGAGGTCATCAGCGGGGGGAGGGAACGGGCGACCCTCTCCGGGCCCACCAGCCTCCTGCGACGGAGCCCGTCGGTGCTCGAGGGCGCCATGGTTTCGGCGACGACGGGCAGGTTGTTCCCCGCTTGCGCCCAGAAGCTGCTGAACTGGCGCCTGTGGTCCGCGAGTTTCGGCAAGGTCAGCGCCGTGCTGGACATCGCCCCGGCGGTGTTCGTCGCCCACCGCTTCCGCGACCCCCGCGCCAGCGCGACGGGCCTCACGACGACGGCCGCGCTCCAGCAGCGCTTCCCCTCGATGCTGGCAGAGAGCAGGCCGCCGCCCAGGGCCGCATGGGCCCTCCAGATCTGGGCCAAGCTCGTGGCCCCGCAGATGCATTTACCTCTGGCGCGCGCCACCACGTTCGCGACCGCGGGCGCGCTGCTGGCCCAGGGCCGCGTCGAGGAGGCCAGCCCGCGGAGCTTCTCCCCCGACCAGGTGCGCCAGGCCCTCAAGTGCCCCCCGGCCCCGCCCCAGTGCGACGGGGAGCAAACCTCGCTGTGCTTGCTGCGCCTCGGGGGGGCGCGCAACCGCCTCCTCGCGGGTCGTCGGGCGCGGGCGGAGGTGAACTACTGAGGCCGTTGGAGGACGTAGCAATCGTTGAGCAGATATGCCAAGCGCTGTCGGATGTAGCCACGGCTGGGCCAGCCCCCACCTGCCCGCGCGGACGTCGGGGACAAGACCGCGCGAGACTTCCTCGGCTGAATGGAGGGGCCGGCGCGGACGGGCCCTCTCGCATTCCCGCCGTCGCCACCCCTCCCCGCGACCACGCCGACTCCGCCAAGGGGGGCGCCCTTGCTGACCGACCAGTGGTCCTTCGTGCGAGGCGGCTCTGGAATCAGGCGCGACAGCGCGCTGCAATCATGCCGTGCCATGTCATTTTGCGCACGTGTACGCCGAATCGTGTTCGGCGAGCTTGCGAATCCCATGGGCTCGGAACTGTGGCCATCAACCCTGCTCGTCACCGTCATGACGATGCTGGGGATCCTCATGTATTGAAGACTCTGGTAGGATGGGTCCGCTCCTCGGCGGTCCTCGGGCGGTGGGCCCCCCTTCCTAGTGCTACTTGGAGGGCCGGTACCGCTCGCGCGCGCCGCCATGATTCACCGTTAGACGGGGCGACGAGCGCGGAGGCCGACAGACGGGCCCTCCGCGTCGCGAGCGCCCTCGCCGACGCCACTTTAAGGCTCATCTCGGAGTGTATTTCCCGCCGGGCCCTCATCATTTTCACGCACCCTGTGGCCAGCTTGATCAGGAAACATTCCCTCCTGTCCCCTTTCCTCGCCGCCTCCTCCTCCTGCCCCCTTGACTGCTGCATGTTTCCTGGCCGAGTCAGGCAGAGGATCTTCATAGTAGGTTGAGGCGTTGCCGAACTCAACCTCCTCTCGCGCCGTTGCCACTGCTCCCACGGCCTGTGCGACCGCACAGGGCGTCGTCACCTGGGGGGCCTCGGTCGTCCTGCGCTGGATGCCGTCGCCCGAGCGTCTGCGAACGGGCTCCCCTTTGAAGTGGCCAGCGCTTGCACGGACATGATAGTGGCCGCCGTGCGTCAGCTGTCTCGTGCCGCCAGATGTAGGACATAGGACAGTTTTTGGTCAATGAGTGTGTCGGGTGTGGCCATGTGTCGGGACTAGCGTCAGGTACCTAGTCTGTGCTTCACCAGCGGTCGTCTCGAGCTCGTGGCCGCCTTTCGCCGGTTGCACAAAAAGAAAGAAGATGGCCCCGATTCGCCCACATACAGGGACTTGTCGGCATTAGTGGATTATCCGTGGCCGCGACACGTTTGTTCACGTTCTTCCCAGGCCCCCCCGTCCAATTTGAGCGCAACGGGAAACCTGTTTCACCGATTCTGTGCTTCACCAGCGGATGTCTCGAGCTCGTGGCCGCCTTTCGCCGTTTGCGCAAATAGAAGGAAGATGGCCCCGATTCACCCACATCATCATCATCATCACCATCATCATCATCGTCATCGTCATCGTCATAATCATCATCGTCATCAGCATCGCCAGCATCATCATCATCACCATCATCATCGTCATCATCACCATCATCATCATCATCATCATCATCATCATCATCATCATCATCATCATCTTCATCTTCATCTTCATCATCATCGTCTCGCGTCGCCCTTCTTCTCCTCTCACAATTCGCCCAACATTCGAGACCTAAAATATGACGGGCTGGTGTGTCTGGCACCCCCAATTGCCAGCGGGGGGACTGGCATTATAGGTTCATCTCGATCCCAAATCCCCGTCGCGCTTCGGCGTCGCCGCTACAGGCCGTCAATCGCGGCTGCCCGCCCCGATGCCGCCCCATAGGAAACATGGCACGTGATCGGTTGTTTGGCGGGCGCTTTGTTCAATGTCAAGCCTTGTCCAGCCCAATACTTTGGTTCCTTTCTTTTTTGTTCACGTCAGAGCAACTTTAGCTGCCGTTCCTCATCGTTTTTCCTCTTCCTCCTCGATTTTGCTTCCTACATCTTTTTGTCGTGTATGCATCATGGTTTATTCCCCCCCCTCCGACACGCGCCTTCCCTCCCATCCCACCCCGTCTCCCCCGTCACCCCCTACTGGTCATACCCCTCGCCCCACCCTCATCCTCCTCCCCCCCATCTTCCTCACCCCCTCCCCCTTCCGAGAATGACGACAACGACGTCGACAACGACGACGACGAAGACGACCCCGACGCCGACGCCGACGACCACCACCACCACGGCCGCCGCCCGAAGGACCCCGCATGCCCAGCGTGCCGCAGCCCCATGACACCCCTACCGCCGGAGGCCTTGCAGCCGCCAACGCGCCAGTCGGAGGTGCCCCTGTTCGCGGACCGCCGCCGTATGTCGTCGTCTTGGCGTGCTCGTCGTGGGCGTCGTCGCCGCCGCCCCCGTCGGCGTCGTCGTCGCCGCCGTCCTCGTCGGCGTCGTCGCCTCTGGTCGTCGTGGTCGTCCACGCGTGCTCGCCGTCGAGCGTCGAACGCCGTGGCCAGCGTCGTGGTTCCCCTGCCGCCGCCGCGAAGCCCCGCCTGCCGAGGCAGGGGTCGACCTAAACGGTGTTTTGGCGATTCCATGGGCCGCTTTCGTTCCGATTCCGTTTTGCAGCGAAGGCGGAGCGAAGACCATAACGAGGGAAAGCGAGAACAACACGAAAACGAAAAGCACTGTTTAGGACGATCGCCGAGGCAACCCTCGTGGAGCCCGACATCCTGCAGCAGCTCCGCTCGCTGATGTGGCTGCGCCAGTCCCTGCCCGCGGCCCTCTCGCCGCGGGCAGCGGCACCTGCGCCGCCCGCGCGCGCTGCGCAGCCGCCACGCGGCGCGTCGCCGCCGGTGGCACCGGCTGGCGGCCTCAGGCGCGGCGCCGCCTCGTCGGTCGTCATCGTGGCCGCCGCCGTGGGCTCGAAGAAGAAAAACGCTCTCAACACGACTTGTTCGCGATCCGTGCGGATTTCTTGGCTCCGCGCCGGGCCCCCTCGGTGGCGCCTCCGGGGCCGCCCCTGGCGCGCTCCGCGTGCCAGGGAGGGGCAGCGCAGGTCCAAGAAATCCGAGCGCCAAAAGTTTCTGTGTATGGCGGTCTTTCTTATTCTATCGGCGTCGTCCGCGTCCCCAGCTCCGCCTCCGCCGCCCCCCCTCCTTTCAGAGCAGGGCTGTTTGAAACACTGGCAGTTGGCCTTCGGGAGGCTCCCACGTCGCCACGTCTGAACGCAGCGCGTGAAACTGGTGCGTTGGGACCCCGGCAGGGGTTTGATGACCGATTTTGATTTCGCAGTTTGACAACCGCCCTGGTCAGATTCTGCTCCGTTCCCTCCCTCAATCCCATTCCTGCTTCCTCGTCTCTGTTGCTCCTCCTCCCTCCTCCCCCCCCTCCGGAGGCAGGGAGGGAGGGAGGGACGAGGAGGACGGAGGAGTTGGAGTCCAGGATGGCGAGGGGGGAGGGGAGGGGAGGAGAAGATGGAGGAAGAGAAGTATTGAGGAGGATGAGAAGGGGGAGGAAAGGCAGGAGGAGCAGAAGGAAAAGGAGAATATTCCAGACCCTCTCTTCATCCTCCATTCTCCATCGTGCACCCTCTCCGTATTTCCCGCCGCCCTTTTCCTTCCTCCCCCACCCTGCTCATAATTATTCCTCCTCCTGCTGATGTTTCCCCCCCCCCCCCCCTGCCCCTCCAGGGCCAAGCAGGAGCAACAGTGAAGGTGAAGGAGTTGGAGGAGAGAGGGGGGAGAAAGCATGAACATGACGATGATGATGATGATGATGATGATGATGATGATGATGATGATGATGATGATGATGATGATGATGATGATGATGCTGATGCTGATGCTGATGCTGATGCTGATGCTGATGCTGATGCTGATGCTGATGCTGATGCTGATGCTGATGCTGATGATGCTGATGATGCTGATGATGCTGATGATGCTATTGCTGATGATGATGATGATGAGGAGGAGGAGGATGAGGAAGAGGAGGCCAAGGAGAATGATTAGAACGACGTCAAGGACGAGGTGATGGTAAGGAGAACGACGACGAGGCAATGGACGACCCCCACGCCGGCGAGGGCGAAAAGGCAAGGACGAGGAACTGTGACGGCGGCGGCAACGACGTCGAGCTCGAGGACGACGACGAGGGCTCGGGCCCAGGCGAGGAAGTTGGCCTGGGCGAGGACGAGGACGACAGCGACGGCGAGGGCGAAGGCGAGGACGGCGGTGAGGACGGCTGAGGGGCTTCTGTCGTCGGCCTCGCCAGCTGCGCAGGTGCGCTTTCTGCGGCAACCTGCGCGCGACCGGCTGCCCGCTGCTCGCGTGCGGGCGGCGCCCCAGGGGGCGGCCGAAACCCGCGCGCCCAGGCGTGTGTGGGGCATGCAGGCCCGTCGGCCTCGTCTGTCGGAAGGGCTCCCTCGGAAAGTGAATGACCACGATGAGAATGGCTGGCGATGTAAATGACGACAATGGTGATGTTTGTGATGGTAATGATGGATGGTTGTGGTGGTGGTGGTGATGGTGATGATGATGCTGATGATGATGATGCTGATGATGATGGTGGTGGTGATACTGATGATAAAAATAATAATACTGATAATAATTTTAATAATGATGATGATGATCATTATTATGATGCTGATGATGGCGATGATGATGATGATGATGATGATGATGATGATGATGATGATGATGATGATGATGATGATGATGATGATGATGGCGATGATGATGGAGATGATGATGGAGATCATGATGATGATGATGATGATCATGATCATGATGATGGTGATGGTGATGATCATGTGTGATGGTGATGCTTATGATGGGGTCGATGATGATGATGCTGTTGCTGCTGATGATGATGGCAGCTATGTTGATGCTGATGCAGGTGATGAGGCTGATCAGGATGAGGATGCGGGTTAGGAATTTAGTGGTGAGGATGACGATGAGGAGGATGAGGATGGTTATGATGCTGATAATGATAATGCTGCTGATGACGATGATGATGATGGGGGCGCTGATAATGATGATGCTGGTGTTGATGATGATTTCGATGATGTTGATGAAGCTTTTGATTGTGGCGATGATAATGGCAAAGGCAATGACAAATGCAATTCTCATGGTGGTGGTGATGGTGATGACGTTGATGATGATGACAATGCGCACAAGGTTGATCATGATGATGATGGTGATGGCGATGCTGATGATCGTGATGATGCTGTTTGTAACAGCGACGGTGATCATGGTACTGATGATGTTGCTACTGATGGTAATGATGTTGATGGTTATGATGACGATGGTGATGCTGAAACTGGTGATGATGATGGTGATAATCATGATGCCGATAATGATGCTGTTGATGACGCTTCTGGTGCTGATGATGATGATCGTAACGATCTTGGTGGTAATGATGCTGCTGATGATGATTGATGGTAGTCATGATGATGATGGCGATCATGACGATAAGTGGTGGTGGTCATGATGCTTGGAGGCATACTAACTTGCCGATTTCCGCCAATTCGACTTTTCCCGACTCGGCTGCCGATTTCTGCCGATCCGATTCATGTCGATTGTATATCCGATTATCGATTCGGTTCTGGACTCTCCTGCCTGCTCCCGAGGGCGCGCTGGTAGTTCCAGCGGGGCCTGCCGGACCCAATCGCACTCAGCAGTCAGCAGAGGTTGAAGAAGCGAGACTGCCTATCTCCAGGCCACCCAGAGTGGGCTCGAGCAGACGTGGTCGGAGGATCGCGCCGCATCGCCGATGCATTGTCGATGCTCGATGTGGAGCCCGATTCGTTTCACGCTGGCGTCGCCGGTGCATCGCCGACGCTGCCGGTGAATCACCGATGCATCGCCGATGCATCGGTGATGCGGTGCAATCCTCCGACCCCATCTACAGTCGACGCGCCTAGCGCTTTCATCTAGAGTACCCTTGTGTCCTTGACTCTGCGGCCCGTCCTTTGCCGTTTTCCCTCGTCGCTCGCGGTCCAAGAAATGCCAACGTCGGCCTCAAAGGGTCTTGCATACTTGCCTTCCGTCCTGAATACACGTTTTGATTGTCCTCGGACCCCATCTGGGAGGCTACTACTACAGTCAACCCGCAAAGTGAGGATGGGCAACTTTCCAAAGGGTACTGGGCGTCCAAGGCCCTTGCATCCTTATCGCGCATCCGTATGATACGGGCCGGCTGTACTGCGAAGGGGCAGGGCAGGGCGAGGGGAGGTGCCTCCAAAGGCTTTCGAAGAGCCTTCCTAAGGGCCTTGGGAGGCCTCTGTGGGCCTCTTGGAGGGAGGGAGGGGATCGCCCCCGTCCCAGATGTCGAGGACCCAAACAAAGCCCCTTGGAAATCAAGGACGAGCAACAAAAACCATAAACTTGAACTTTGGGCGCTCCGCCCGGATTTCTTGGATCCGCGCTGGGCCCCCCCCAGCGGCGCCTCCGCCGCCGCCCCTGGCGCGCTCCGCGCGCCAGCGAGGGCGGTCCGGCGCAGATCCAAGCAATCCGCGCGGACCGGCGAACGTGTATGTTCATGCCGTGAGGGAAGGCCTCGGAGGAGACGGGAGGGAGGGAGGGAGGGAGGGAGGGAGGGAGGGAGGAGGAGGAGGAGGAGGAGGGCCCGCGCCGGCCAGGTGCTGCGTGGGCAACCAGCGCCTCCGCGGCCAGCGGTGCCCGCGGCACCCGCCGGAGCTGACGGGCAGAGGCCGCGGCCCGCCCCCGGCTGCTGCCGGCCGTCGGCCGCCCTCTTCTTCGTCGCGGCGGGCCTCGGCTCGCGGCCGTCGTCGGCCTCGTCGTGGTCGTCACTCTCGCCGCCGTCGTCCGTCGTTGGCGTCGTGGTTGGTCGCCTGCGTCGCAGTGTTCGTCGTCTTCGTCGTCGTCGCCGTGGCCGTGGTCTTCGTCGTCGCCGTGGCCGTCGTCGCAGTCTTCGTCGTGGAAGACGCTGCTGCAGAAATTCGACCCTCAGCCCGCGTGGAGGATCGTCCTGCCACGGAGGGCGGCCAAGTTGGAGCTCCGCGGACCAGAAGGGGCATTTGGACCTGCTAGTGACGTGCTTCCCGACGGGCGCCGACCTCACCGACGAGGCGTTCTTCGGCTTCTCGCGGGCGGAGCGGGAGCAGGCCTCCTCCTTCCGGGGTCTCCGCGGCTGCCTCCGCTCTCGCCTGGCACGAGCGGTCGCTCCTCGCCAATCGGCGCTGACGATCCTAGGAGGGGACTTCAGCTGCGCCACAGATGCCTTCGACCGCTTCGCGACCGGCTCGGCGCGCTCCACGGGAGGGCGGGACAAGTACGAGGAAACACATTTCCAACGTGTGCCTGGCACCCCCTGCGGCCTCGTGGAGATGTACCAGCCAGAACCCACCCATGCTTCGGCATCCTCGAGGGCGGGTTTGGATAGGGTGTATATATTTGAAACATGACGTCACAGACCAGCTCGACAGGCAGCTGCGCGCGGTCGCCCTCGAGTGGAAGCCCCAGCTGTCCGCTCACCGCCCCGTCCTCGTGTCTCGCACCGCCCCGCAGCTGCGCCCGGAGGACGCGCGGCGCGTCCCTGACTACGTGGTGCATCATCCTGACTTCAAGCGGCGCGTCGCGCTCGAGTTCGAGGACCGCCTCGCTGCCTCCGCCCTTATTTCAGGACTCGCCAAACTCCAGATGTTCAAGGAGGCAGTGAAACAGGTCGCCCGCCGCATCGCTGCGGACCACGCCACCCCGCCGTCGGCGGAGTCCCGCGAGGGCAGGCTGGGCATCACCATGAAGCTCATCCGCTCAGTGCGGGTTCCCGGGCGATGTCTCGAAGTGCCTCGTCCGCTACCCGTCCCTCCGCGACCTGATCCACATCCCCTACGACTTCTCCGGCAACCTGTCCGTTCGCCTCCGAGCTCTCCGGGAGCACGCGGCCGATCTTGCGCGTGACCACGCGCTGGACGAGCTCGCTGCCGCCTCGGCTACGCCAACCCTTGGGCAGGAAGGGGGGGGGGCGTGGAGGACACGGAGGACGCATCGGCCTCGCGGGCGCGGCGGACTCGCAGGAGGGGGGCCCGCCCTGTTCATCGGCTCGCTCCTGGACGCTCCACGGGGGATCGCGGCGGTCATGGACCCTCCGGGCGTCGTCCAGACGGATCCGGACGACGTGGTCGCTGTTCTCCGAGAGCACGCTGGATTTTCTGGGTTTGGGGAGCGGGGTCACAGTTCTGACCTGCGCCGCACATGGGCTGAGGAGGACCAAGCCGCACGCCCCGCTGAGCGCCCTCTGCTGGGCCTTCCTGCCCAGGTCCGGCTCCGTCGCCGCCATGTCCGTCGAGCTCCCAGGCTCACGGGCAGTACTGCTCCTGGCCCAGACGGCATCCCCTTCAAAGTGTGGCGCGTCTTCGACGATTTCGCAGTGGATTTATTATTCGATGCGTTCGACAGGCTCCTCGACGACGACGCTTTGGATGAGCTCGCCTCCCTTGGGCTCGAGTTCAACGAGAGCCCTATGCACCTCCTGCCGAAGAAGGCGGTGGGCGCCACGGACGAGGGCGTCGCGGTGTACAGTGGGAGTGCCACTCGACCGCTGAATGTTGTCAACACAGACAACAGGATCCTCGCCAACGCGGTCCGGCTCCGGCTTCCTGCTGGAGTTGTTGCGACTTGCGGGATTGCCCGAGTGGTTCCTCCGGTACATTCGCGTCATTCTACCACCAGAACGTCTGCGTGATGGCCTTTAGCGGGGCGCTGTACGACGGCGTCGTGGACACGCGGGGGGGTAGGCAGGGCTGCCCGCTCTCCCCTTTGCTCCCCGCTGCCACGTCCGACCTCCTCCTCGAGCGGATTCGCCGTCTCTGCTGGTCTCTGCGCCGCGCGTACGCGGATGACACAGCTGTGCTCCTGCATGGCGGGCTCAACGCAGTCCCCGTCTTGGCGTCCATCTTCGAGGATTTTGGCCAGAGTTCGGACCTCCGGCTGAATATTGCGAAGACGCTAGTTGTCCCAGTTTCAGATTGCGACCCCGTGGAGCTGCGATCCGCCATAGCGGCGCTGGTTCCCGAGTGGGGCCAGCTCGGGATCGCGTCGCATGCGAGATATCTTGGGTATGAGGTTGGGCCAGGCCGCGGGACACGCTCATGGGACGCACCGCTAAAGAAATTCCAGGAACGCGGAGAGCTGTGGAAGTCGATCGGCGCAGGCCTATACCTGACGGCCGCGGCCCACCGCACCTATGTCCTCAGCGTGCTTTTTTTCGTGGCTCACCTTGAGCGGGTTCCTGAGCAGGCTTTTCAAGTGGAGGCCCAGGTGCAGCTTCGCCTGGTCCCGGGTCCGGGGGACTGGATGTCTGCGCCAGCCTCGCAATCCCTCAAAGACCACGGGCTTAATTTCGAGTTCGTCTCCCTGGATTCCTGTGCCGTGGCCGCGGCGGCTCGGACTTTTCTGTACGAGGACAGACAGTGCGGTGGCCTTCGAGTTCGTGACCGGGCGCGCACATTATTCGAACGACTACATTCGTCAGACAACGTTTCCCTACAGACTGTATCGTGGATCCGTTCATGCTCCCTCTTCCGGCTATTGGAGGTGGCGGGCACCGTCGAGGCGGCGGAGCGGGCGCGTAACCTCGATTCGTCTTTGCTGGTCGCGGACCCGATGGACGACGAGGGCAGGAAAACGTGGCAGCGCCGGGCGCTGATGATTCTAAGGCCTTCGGGCAGCCCTGCCCGCGCTCACGCCCAGGTCAAATTAGCCAGGTGGTCCATTGATCTCTTCCCACGGCTCCGGGCCGACCGGCTGAGTGCAGTCTGCCAGTTGCTGGCGCGTCGGGCCCCTCCCCGATTGTGCGCCGCTTTCGTCCGCACCGCTTTCAACGGGTGGTGCACGGCGCGGCGTTTCCAGAGCAGGGCGGATTGCCTGTTCGGCTTCGGCCGCGGAGAGGATTCCATCGAGCACTACGCCATTTGTGTCTCCTACAATTCGTTCTGCTCGCGCCACGCCGGTCTGGCACGGCCAGCGCCTGCGAACAGACTGGCGTGTTTCCTGAACCTCGGGCCTTCCCGCCGCTGCCGGCGCGGCGAGAATGATGCGGAAGAGGCGATTATTTTACGGGCGCTCACAGTGTTCGCATGACACATGGTCAGTCGGCGACGGCGGGTTCTTTCTCTAGGCAGATTTTGGGCAACCACGCGCTACGCTATGATACGAATTCGGTCAAAATTTGTATCATGTTGTTTTCCTGCTCCCCTCTCTTCCTTCTCTCCTGCCGTCCTTCCTCCTCCCCTCCCTCCCCCCTTATCGCTGGTGCTTTTGTTACTTTTGGCACGGGCTAGGGTTTAAAGCAGCCGATGTGTGCAGCCGATGTGTGCCGTTCTTGGCAACCATGCTGCCCGCTCTCCCTCCTCGTCTTCCTTTCTGTCCTCCTCCTCGTCCTCTCTTCTCCTCCTCCCGCCGGTTTTTTTTTTACTTTTGTCATGGGCCAGGGCTCTAAGCAGCCTATGTGCGTGACAGCCGTTCTTGGCAACCACGCTGTCCACTCTCCCTCCTCGTCTTCCTTTCTGTCCTCGTCCTCGTCCTCCTCTCTTCTCCTCCTCCTCCCGCCGGTGTTTTTTTACTTCTGGGACGTTGGTATAAATAAAGCAGTTGGTCAGGCCCTGCCGCGTCTCGCCATGGAGTGCACGTGTTACTCGAGTGTGGTTGCGATCGTCCCCCACCTCATGCCCCTCCTTCTTCTCCCAGAAAATGTTGCGCGGAAAATAAAAGTCTTCGTCGTCTTCGTCGTCGCCGTGGCCGTCGTCGCCGTCTTGATTGCGTTGGCGCGTTGGCGGAGTCATCGTGTTCAAGTTGGTGCGTTGGTGGTCGTCCTTGTCGTCGATCGGAAGGAGGAGGAGGAGGAGATGGCCTCCTCCTCATCCTCATCCTCTTCCTCCTCCCCGTCCCTTTCCACTCTGCCTCCCCGTCCCCTTCCTCCGCTTCCCCATTCTTCCCCCTCCCGCTCCTCCACCCTGCCTCCCCGTCCGCCTTCCTTCGGTTCCCCTTTCTTCCCCCTCCCGCTCCTGGACTCGTCGTCGTCGTCGTCGCTGTCGTCGTCGTCCCACCGTCATCCCCTGTGGGGGGGGGTCCCTGTAGAATCCTGGGGCCCATCCCAACTGGTGGGGGAGGCCTGTGAATCCTCGACACTGGTTCATATAGATGTATCTACAAATATACATATGAATATTGTATACGCATATATGTATGTACTAAATGTGATGGGGAGGAGGTGGGGCGGCAGCAACGGCTTCAGCAGCAGGATCAGGAGTACATGGGACAGCCGCAGCAGCTGCGCCCCGCTCTGGGGGGTCTGCCGGTCCTTGTTGCCACAGTATCTAGTTAGGTTAGTTAGATTCCTTACCAGGGGCAACCACCCCTGGGGTGGGGAACCCGCGTCAGGATGCCTCATAGGCCGTCAACAACAGATCAACGGCAGGAGGATGAGTTTGAGCCGCGTTTGGGCGAGACGGGCACCCTGAGCACGCCTGCGCGGGCGCACGCGCCCCGCTCGAGCCTCGGCGCTGGTGTTCAGCAAAGGGCTCTGCACCCGGCTGGACTCGGACCCATTGACTGATGGCGGAAGGACAACACACACCTATACCCATAGTGGGGTCGGAGGGGGGAGGATTGGCTATGGGTATGGGTGCGGGTTGTCGAGCCTCGGGAGAGGCCCCCGTTCGAGCTGGCACCCCCATCTAACAGCACGCACCCATAGCTCTTTCCGTCCCCCCTATGCGTATGGGCGGGTGGGTGTTGATCGTTCTTCAACTGAGTCGCGTACGGCAAGATCAACCAGGCCACCAATAATGCCTTCGCGGTCTTTCAGAGATGCCGTTCGAGCTTCGCACGGATCTCTTCGCCGAGCTGGCACATCAAGCTGCGCATACGGCTCAGGACGAGACATCCTTTTCCGTGCCAGGCCCTTCTCGGAGAGGCCCTCCGAAGTTCCTCTTGGATTCGGAGCGCAGCCGATCGGTCCCTCGAGGGTCGTTTTCCTGCCCGAGGACTTGCGTCTGCTCCTTCACGTACTCGTGATGCTGCTCTTGGCGCTCATTATCGTAAAGTCCTTACAGCCAGTGCCGCCGACCCAGAAGGACGACAACGACGACGACGACGACCACGACGACGACCACGACGACGACGACCACGACGACGACGACGACGACAACGACAACGACGAGCTCATGACCCTGCCACAAGCTCCGGACATGGGGCGGGCGGTGGAGGATGAGAAGGAGGATGGAGGAGGAGGAGGAGGAGGAGGAGGAGGAGGAGGCGCTCGTTATCCGTGTCCTTGGGTGGTGCCGCGGCTCGCCGCCGTGGTGCGCCCCCGCATCTTGGGCCTTTCGCAACGGGCGGCGCACCACCTCCCCGCCTGGCCCGTCGCAGCCCGCCCCGCGGGACCGCGCCTCTGCGCCTGCAGGCGACCGTCCCCGCGCCACCGTGGCCCCCAGGACCTGCACGAGGTCCCAGGCTGACGTCGGGCTCGGTCTGCTCTCTCCTGCCCTTAGTGGGCCCTGGAAACGACAGGGCCGTTTTTTTACCGGTTCCGTTTTGCCTTACCAGTTCCGTCGCCGTTTTTTGACCGGCTCTGGCTCCGGTTCCAAGCCTGAAGCTGGTTTTCTGCCGTTCCCGGTCACCGTTTTTTTGCCGTTCCCATTTTCAAGTCACCGTTTCTGTTGCCGTTTCCATTTTCAAGTGGCATGTTTCTGGAAACGGCGAAAAAACGGCCCTGCCGTTTCCGGGGCCCACAAAGCTCCTGCCCCTGCGGCGCGAGCGCCTGGCCGCACGGCCGAGGCGCCGGGGGCAGAGACAAGCTCGGGGCTCCGGAGAGGCCCTGGTCCTCGGGGCCGCTTCCCGGAGCCGGGTCGGGCGGCCTGCTCGTGGCCCAGGGCTGGCCGCGGCAAGGAGCGGTCGAGGCCTTGCGCCTCTGCGATGCGGCGCTCCTTCTGGCAGCATGGTGGCTACGGCTCGGCCTGACCTCGGCCCTTCTGGACCCGCCACGGGCAGGGCTGCGCGTGGCGCCGTGGGCCGTCGGGCCGCGTCCTCGTTGCTCCCCTGGTTTGCCTTTGTCCTCCTCATCCATTTCCTTCTCCTCCTCCTCCTCCTCCACCTCCTCCTGCTCCTCCCCCTCCTCCTCCTCCTCCTCCGCCTCCTCCTCCTCCTGCTCCTCCCCCTCCGCCTCCTCCTCTTCCTCCTCCGCCTCCTCCTCCTCCTCCTTGTAACTCCTGCCCTTGCAGTTCTGCTCTGCAGCAAATGAAGAGCAGCAGCAGGTGGATGTCAGGTCGGGCAGGAGGCGATAGGAGAGGAGAACCTGGCGATCAAGGCTCGGTCGCTCCTTAGTAGGAGCAGAAAGGGGCAGCAGGTGGAGCGGAGAAGGCGGGGCTCGGGGCGAAAGGAGGGGAGGATCTGGCTAGCCGGGCTCGATCGGGCCGCTGATCTGTTTGGCCAGTCCCGCGATCGGTCGAGGTCGGGGTTGGCTGAACGTCCTCGATGAGCGGGCCGCTCCGCGCTCTTTGGACAGGGTGGGCGGGGCAAAGCAGCATCGGGATGAGGGTACGGATCGGCCCCGATCACTGTCCCCTTCTCCTTTTTTTCCCGCTACCTTCTAGTCTCTGGCTTGACTAGATGATTATATGTATATATATGTGTGTATAATGCCTACATGTACTTATGTATATACACAAGCATGCATACATGCAGACATGCCTACCTACCTACCTACATACACACATACATATAAACAAACATGTATATATGTATATAGAGGTATATACATACATACACACATACATACCTACCTGCATACATACACACAAACAAACAACCACAAACATCCACACACATATACATACACACACCCATACATTTACACGTACATACACACAAACACACATGCACATACACATACACACATACACACATACACACAATTATACATACATACATACATACATACATACATACATACATACATACATACATACATACATACATACATACATGCATACCTACATACACACATACATACGTCATACATACATATATACATACATACATACATACATACATACATACATACATACATACATACATACACACATGAACACATACATACACATGTTCGTTGTTGTAAATGCATATATACATATATACATACACACATATGCATCCATACACCCATACATACATACACACATGCATACATACACACATCCATACATACATATATACATACATGCAACCATACATACATACACACAAACATACATGCATGCATGAATGCATACATCTATATATACATGTATATACAAACATACATACATACATAGATACATTCATACATGCATGCAAACATACACCCACATACATACATGCATGCATGCATGCATCTATGCATGCATGCATGCATACATACATATATACATACCTATCTACCTACCTACATACATACATACATAGATACATACATACACGCATACATACATACATACATACATAAATACATACATACATACATACATACATACAGACAGACAGACAGACAGACAGACAGACAGACAGACAGACAGACAGACAGACATACATGCATACATGCATGCATACATACATACATACATACATACATACACATACAGATCCACCGATTGGGGAAACGATCTTGTTGGATCTAGGCGGTGGATGTGGATGTATTCGGGCCCCTTGGGATCCAAGTCTGTTCAGACCCACCGCACCCTGGGGTCCTGGGAGCTTTTCTCCCCAGGCCTTGGATGTGCAAACGCTGGCCTCGCACCTTCAAGACCCTTCGCCTCCTCTTCACCACTTCGGACATGAAGCGGTGGAAGGAGTTGGCCAATTATTCCTTTTCTGCGGCGTGGTGAAAGACAGCCGGCACTTGCACGGCACTTGCACATGAGGTGCCATCCACCCCCGCTCCGCGCTAAGCCAAGATCTGCTCGTCAGTTGGCGCTCTCTCTCGTTCTCTTTTTCTATTTCTCCCCGGTTGGGGAGCGGGTGGCACGGGAGGAGGAGGACGACGATTGGGGTCTCGATGCTTCTATATATATACACATATCTATGTATACATATATATATATATATATATATATAAATGTATATATACACGTATGTATGTGTGTATATACATAGACATATGGTATATACAGATGTCTCACAAAGAGACATCGCCCCCTCTCTTCCCCACTTCGTCCCTGCCCCCCCTTCTCCGGCGGCGCCGACGAGGCCTTGGACACCGCGACGGCCTCGAGCTGGCGCGCCCTGGGGAGGGGCCCTCCGCGCCGCGGCCCGGCCGGCCGTCGCGGGCGCGGCCTCTCGACGCCTGCGCTCCCCCCGGCGGTTCGCGCGCGAGGCCCTCCGCCGGAGCGGCCTCCCTCGCGGCCTGCGGGGGGTGGGGCTCTCCCCACACTCGGGGGCGGCAAAGAGGGGGGCGATGACTAGGGGGGGGGGTGGACATCATGGCGTGGGCCATGAGATTTCCCCATATCACATGGCCCCACTTCTTCTCACATCACGTCCCGGCCCCCCCCCCCCCCCTGGGCCGCGCACGTGCCGCGGGCCATGATTTGCACCCCCCCCTCGTGGACGCCCACCGCCTGGCCGCCCCCGAGACACCCCCCTTCGCGTTGCGAAAGCATCGCGGCGGGAGGTTGCCCACGGTGTGTTCGGCCTCCAGGGGCCCTCGCCGCGCCCCAGGACCGTCGAGGAGTAACGGCTCGGGAGGAAGAACCAGTCCGAGGGAAGGCGCCCGGGCCTCTGGGGGAGGACGTTGCGAAAAAATCACGACGCCGGGGGGTCTGGGGTGAAGGTTTTTGTTGTGCCTGGGGTCGAGTTCCAGCATCTGCGCCTCGCCGGGAGCGCTCCGGGGTGCCCCGAGGCGTCCCCAGACCCCCGACGCCATGATTTTGCTCGTAACGTCGACCCCCAGAGGTCTCGACCCATTCTCTGGGACCTGTTTCTCATCCTGAGCCGTTTTTTGACGGTCCCAAGGCCCGGCGAGGGCCCCCAGATGCCGAATATGGCGAGAAACCTACCCTTATGATTTCTTCGTTACTCGAGAGTGCCCCGACGCGTCTAGAGCCGCCCGTGGGGCCCCAGCGGTGGCTCGAAGGTGGGGTAATGGCCTTGCCCCAGTGTTAGATCAGGCATGTCCTCCTACAGGGGGATCCTGACGAAAAATGAAAAATAGTATAACATGCTCCAACATTCTCCAAACATTTTGTTTTCAATCGTCCCCTGATTATTTGTTTGGTACTATTTCAAAACATTCCTCCTGCAGAGGGACATGTCCGACTTATCGCCAGTGGTGGGCGGCTTGCGGGAGGCGCAATGGGGGAGGGGGGAGGGCCACACGAGCACGCAGGCCGCCAGGAACCGCCATGCAACGAGCGGCAAAAGGTCTCTCGACGCGACGCCGACGCTTCCAACGGATCTCTGGGCGTCTTTGGAGGGCTGCGGCCTCTTCGGCGTGCTCCTGAGACGCCCTCGGGTACTGAAAAAATCATGACGGGAGATTGATTGTTCCGAGTTTTCGGCCTCTGGAGGCCCTTCCCGGCCCTCGGGACCATCAAAGAACGGCTCAGGGTGGAAAACCAGTCCAGGAGAATGGGTCGAGACCTCTGACGGTCGACGTTAAGAAAAACATGACATCGGGGTATGTGTTTCTGGAGGGTTGCGGCCTCGTCGGCGTGCTCTGGCCCCCTTTCTCTTAGCTCTCCAGTGCCCCAGGGGCCCCCTCGGGGGACCAGGGCGTCCCTGAGGCATCAGGAGGACGATGATGGAGACGGCGACGACGGCGGGTGGCGACGGCGGCGGAAAAACGGGGGAGACGACATCGGGGCTCAAGAGGCGGGGGTCCGTGCAAACAGGGGTCAGCCAGAACGTCGGATCTTGCGGGATCCTGCAGGGCCAGGGTCGCATGGATCTGGGTTTTGGGCGCAGGATCCTGCAGGATCCTGCAGGATCTTGCAGGTTCTGCACAGCCTGACTGACCCGGGTCTGGATTGACCCGGGTCAGTAGATCGCCGACGACGGCGGCGTCGACGTCGTCGTCTCGGAGGTTTCTGGGATTCCCTGGAGGTTCTCGTCGCTGCGGCTGGGCGCATCTCGAGAGACCGGCGCCGGATGAATCCCTACGAAGGAGTCCAGGGACCAGGTTTAGCACCGGATCTCCCCAGACAGTGTCAGCATCGAGAGGTTCTTGTTTCTTGTCTGAGGAAGTCAGTGGGCCTGGGTGTCGATGTCTGGCGGCTCTGTGCTCGCCGTCGCCGCCCCGTCGCCGCCTCGTCGCCGCCCGTCGTCTGGGCCTGGGTGTCGGTCTGGCGGCTCCGTGGTCGCCGTCGCAGCCCACGTTGCACGACATAGATTGCACCGCGTAGATTGCACCACTCAGGCTGCACCATGTAGATCGCACACATAGAGTGCACAACATAGATCGCATCCGAAAGATTGCACCACGTCGATTGCACCATATAGATTGCGATCCACTTAGGTTGCGCACCACATAGATCGCACAACATAAATTGCACAACTTAGATTGCACAACATAGATCGCACCACATAGATTGCACCACAATGATTGCACCACACAGATTACTCCACACATGTTCACATTCATTGCTTCACAGAGATTGCGCATCATAAACTGCGGATCTGGAGCCCACGCTGGCTAACATGTACATCTATAACTAGCCCAGTAGCACGGAGAGTGCTGCGCATTCAAAACCACACCCCATCATAGCTGAGTTGTGGGCCGCACGCAGATAGCACAAAAGTACCCCATGCTCCCCAGGACGTGCGTTAGCCCAGTGTGCGTTTACTCAGTTCAGCCTGGCCGATGGCACTCAGTCAGCCTGTGCTGGCTCTCGTCACGCTGCGGGACAAACAAACACGCGTTGGCGCTAGCGCACGCTCTTCGGTGAGCAGGCGATGACACGATCGTAGCGGTCGGAGGTCCACGCGGACTTCCTGCATCGGCGCTGGACCCCGCTCCCTGGCGCGCGGAGCGCGACAACGGCGGCGCCGGAGGGGGGCCCGGTGCCGATCCGAGGAGTCCGCGCGGGCCTCCGAGTTCTTGTAGGGTGTCCTGGTTGGATCCCCGGAGCGCCCCGTCTGAGGATCGCCGAACCGTATCCCGGCCTCGAGCCCGGCCCTCTCGTGGCCCGAACGGATCGCGGCCGCCGGCAGCTCGGCTCGGCCCGTCCCCGTCCGCGGCTCGGTTTGCCTCCCTCGTGTGCTTCTCGGCCTGAGCTCAACTCGGCACGGTTTGCTCGTCGTCATGGTCGTCGTCGACATGGTTGACGTCGTCAGTGTTGTGATCGCGATCGTCGTTCACGTCGTCCTCCGGCGATTCGTCTTGCTCCTCTTTCTGCTCCTCCTCGCCCCCCTCCTCCATCCTGTTGCCTACCTCTTTCTCCTCGCTCATCAGCCTTCTATGCTCCCTTCTCTCTCCCTCATGTCCCCCCTTCCTTCTAAGTTGTCTTCCTTCCCTCCTCATCCTCCTCGTCGTCCTTGTCTTCCTCCTCCGCCTTATCACCAGCATCATTGACCCACTTCTCCTTTGCCTCCTTGTCTTCCTCTTGCCGGCCCTCCCCCTCTGCTTCTCGCTCCCCCTCGCCATCCCCGCACCACTTCTATTCCTCATCATCGCCCCCCCTGCGTATTCTTCCACATCCTTCTCCAACCGCACCCCACTACTGCTGAATGTCGTCGTCGCCCTCCGTACACATCTTGTTCATCGTGTCCTAGTCCATTCTCCACTCATGTTCATGTGTCCGAAGTCCGTACGTCATTCTCTTTGCCATCCTTCTCCTCCTCCATCCTCCATCCCTCTCAGCACTCCTCATCCTGTCTCGTCGTTATGCATAGTATCTTTCCCCTCCTGTTCGCCCCTGTTTTATCATCCTCAAGTTGCTTTGCATGCTGATCGTCATCATCTGCCATCCTCTGCCTTCGGTCGTCGTTCCTCCCCCCTCCCATCCTCCCTATTCCCCTATCCCTAGTCCCTCTCGGCATCTCATCATGCTCCTCCTCTTCTCCTCCTTCCTAGGTCCAGCGCCGTCGGCTCACTTTCTCCATCCGCACTCCTCCCCCGTCCTCCTCCCCACCGCACTCCTCCCCCTGCTGTCTCCCGGGGGGTCCCTGTACTCCCCCTCGAGCAGGGTTCCCCTCGAGCCGCAATCCCCAGGCCTCTCCCCTGGCTCCCCCCCCCCCCCCCCTCCGCCCCCCCAGGTGCTCACCGACGACGAAGACGACGATGCGCTGGGCCCAGCCCAGATCGACCTCGGGCGCCAGGCGAGCCAGCAGGCGGGTGACAGGCGCGGCCTCGTCGTCGTCGTCGGCTTTGGTGGCGGTGGTAGCGAAGGAGGATTGAGAAGTGGTGCAGCGCGGGCCGGCTTCGCTTAAGACGTGCGCTGGAGACCTCGGAGGGGCGGACATGAGCGGAGGATGACACAACGCCAGAGGAGGTCGGAGGAACAGTAGAAGAAGATATTGGAAGAAGGTCGGAATCAACTAGAGCAGGATAGCGGTTCACTTAGACCATGGTATGGGTCCCGTTGCCGAATCACTGGCAAATACCTTGCCAAACCAGCATCCGCATCCCAGTGTCCCGGGGGCAGTCGCAAACGGCAGTCTTCTAAGGAGTGAGGAGTGCGGGAGGAGGAGGAGGAGGAGGAGGAGGACGAGGAGGAGGATGAACGAGCAGGTCGAGGAGAAGGTCGCGGAGATAGAAGAGGATCAGATCAGCAGTAGCAGGGAAGGAGCAGAAGGAGAAGGCTAAGAGGGGGGGGAAAGAAGCAGGTGACGAAGGAGGGGGAACAACTGCAAGCTGGAGGTGGACTGGTGAGGAGCAGTCCGTCTCCCTCCCCCCCCACCATTCCCCTAACCATTCCCAGCCCCTCCCCCCGCCCTGGCGAGGGAGGAGGAGGAGGAGGAGGAGGAGGAGGAGGAGGAGGAGGAAGAGGAGGATCGAGGCTCGAGGTTCGAAATTCTAGACGCTTCGCGTAACCCCAGCAGCGCCATCAGCCGTATGTACCTGCAGTCTGACTTGCATCGCTCGTACGGCCATCAGCCGTCCTCTGGCGCTGGACAGTCCTGGAGGACGCCTATTTCCCCTCGCCGGTAAGGTGATGTCAGTTCCCACCTGCCACGGCCTCCCCTTCCCGCGCAATACGCGGTTCCACTGTGCGGCGTCCCCGACACACGCCCCCTGGCCAGTCCCCACGCTTGCGTCGCTGGCCGTGTCTGATGCTGGCCGTATGGGGATTCGTCTGCCGCCTCACTCTGGAGTGGTTCAGCCTTCTTGCACTGGTCTGCGCACCACCCACTGGCGCATCGTTACCGCCTTGTCTTGGTACGTACCTGCCACAGCTGTGGCCTTGACCCCTGGCGCCCTGTGGCGACAAGGTCCGTTTGCGTACCTGGTGACTTCCTCTCACGGTACTCACTTGAGTTCAAGCGCGCTTGCGCCTCTCGGACTCTGTTCCTCATGGTTGCGCGCCGCCTTCCCGGGTCTGCCCGTCTGGTGGCACCGCCTCGCTAGGCAGACGTTTGGTCTGTAGATACAGAACAGGTCACGACATCTCCTGGCGTGCAGGATCCAATTCACCCGCACGTATGCATCAGCTACCGTGGCCGTTTGCAGTCAGCTCAGCCAGCTCAGCCTCAGCCAGCTGCCCCACCGGCGGTAGGTTCTGACTCCGGGCTCGGTCGCTGTGCCTTTAGGCTCGCGCGTTGCTAATTCGATCGGCCCGTGGCCCGGACCTTTCAACTCGGCGCCTGCGCTTCCGCTTGCGCCCGCGAGGAAAAAAGTAACCCCACCAGCCCATCCAGAAACCATGCCCAGAGGAATTGCCTCGATCAGGGAAGTGGGCAGCACAGCGAAAGGGTCCCCCAGTGGAGGCCTCTTGGAGCGTCTTGGTGGCCTCTCGGCGGTCCCGGACGCCTCTTAGAGCGTCTCGGGTGCCTCGGAGAGCTTCTTGGGGCCTCTTGGGGGTCTCCTGGGAGCCGTTTGGAGGTTTGGGCGCCTGTTGGGGCCTCCTGGGCGCCTCTTGGGGCCCTCTTGAAGCGCTCTTGGGAGCTTTGGGAACGCTTTTGGGGCCAGCTTGGAGGACATCGATTATACAAGAGGGGAGCATTCATTAGCGATGCCCCTCGGGAGCCCAAAAAGTCGCCTCTTGGGACGCTCTTGGAACGCTCTCGTTCGCTCTTGGGGCCGTCTTGGGGCTCGCTTGAGTCTCTCTTGGAGCCCTCTTGGGCCATCTGGGAGCCATCTTGAGGCCTCGGATGGCCATCGGAAGCGGAAGGCGAGAAAGCCAGAAACATGAAATTGCGGTTTTGAAAGGATGTTGGCCTCTTCGGGGCCTCCTGGGGGAGCTCTTTGGCCACTTGGAGCCGTCTTGGAGTGGTCTTGGGGCCCTCTTGGAGCATCGTGGGAGCCATCTTGAGGCATCGTAGGATAGATTGAGCCATCTTGGAGGTGACCTTGGCCTCTCCCAGGCGTTCTAGGAGTCATCTTGGCCATCCCCCAGGAGGCCAACATGTGGCCAAAACCGATTGTAAAATCATTGGTTTTGGCATTCTCGCCGAGGCCTCTTGGAGCGTCTTGGGTGCCTCTGGGGGGCCTCTTGGGGCCTCTTGGGGGTCACTTGGGAGACTCTTGGGGGCATCCTGGGGGCCTCTTGGGGGCCTTTTGGGGCCTCCAGGCAACCTCTTGGGGCCCTCTTGGGGCACCATTGGGAGCCTTGGGGACCATCTTTGGCCATCTTGGGTGTGATCGATCAGAGGAGGGGAGCTCCCCAATTAGCCCCCCCCCCAGGAGGCCAAAATGGAGCCAAAACCTTTTGTAAAACCAGTGGTATTGGCTTCCTCGCCGAGGCCGTTTTGGACGCTCCAACTACCCGCGGACCCCCCGTCCAGGTCCAGGGGAGGGGGTGAGGGTAGGTGTCAAGACACCCTCTCCGCACGCAAGCCGTCTAGCTCACTCCCACCCGCCCTCCCACCACAGAAGTGGCATCCGAGTCTCGGCATTGCCAGGGGTCACCACTGGATGAGCAGCCACTGGGAACCAAAGCAGACGCCAGGTGCGCGACGCTCGCCGCGGGCTCCACATGCGGTTGGTGTGCCGCCTTTGAAAAAAAAGGTGATTCCCCACCCGTCCGCATGGTCCAGATGCTGATGTGCGTCTGCATGTTTTTGGGCCTGCGCACAGCAGGCATCATCATGCGGGCTCCACCGCCGTCCCTGCCAGAAAAAACATATAGAAGGATCGCGTGTGGCCAGCACAATCCCCACGACTTTGTCGCAACGTGCACCTTGCTTTGTTTTGGACACGGATGGTGGTCCTGCACAAAGCGGCTTCACTAAGGGTGCCCCGCCATCCCTGTCAAAAAACAATACGACGTGCTCACAGGACGCCAGCGCACTTTCCAGATTTGCTGCAATGTGCACTTCGTATTGGTTGTTGAGAGAGATTATGGAAGGTGTTGGCAGAGTGGGCCCCGCAATGTGCATTGTGTATTTTTTGTGAAAAGGGATGGTGGGGGGGGGGGGGGCCCGCGCGGTTCCGGGTTGGCTGCCGGCCAGGTGGAGGAGGAGGGGTTGATTTAGTAATAGGGAACAATGATGATCCATTTCCCGAAGGGGAAGAAGAGGGTTTGAGTTTGAAGAGGAAGCTCCCTGGACCACCTACGACCGAAAGGGCTGGCGGGATTCGAGGGTGGCAATTCACGGGCCGATTTATGTCATGAGTTCTTGGCAACCTGGGGCCTCCAGAGGCCTCCGGTAGCGCCAGCACCTCCAGGCATCCGGTTCAGCGCTCCTGCCGCTCCCAAACTGGGGCGTGCGCAGTGTGCGATTTCCTGCTTTGCTCTCGGCTCAAAGGAGCCAGAAAGCTGAGATGGAGTGGTTCTTCATTTCGCGATGCGACGGCCCACTGTGACTGTGGCCTGGGTTCTACCGTCTCGGACCTCTGCTCGTGAGTTCCACTTGCTCTTTCGACCAGTCGTGACCAGCTTTGATTTTATCGCCGTTTCGTTGCACTCGCTCACGTTCGTGGCCTGTCTGTCCGCGGTTCGTCCCCTCAGCTTTCAGTTGTTCCCCCACGCATACACTGGAAAGCCTAGACATTCAGAGTACACGGCTTGTAGATCCCAGTATGCAAAACACATAATCACGCGCAAACAAGTCAATCATACGTTCGAGGCTCCCAGGTGCGTCGCAGAAGCGCGTAAGTTGTGGCCCACTTCTGGATCGCTTGAGGCATCCAAGCTCCCGTGTTTTGTGTGTGTGTGTGTGCATGTCCGGTGTTGTGTGTGCATGCTGCATGTCTGAAAACGTTGTTTTCTTGACGTGTCGATTCCTTTTTGAGCGGTTGCCGTACATTTGTTGTTTGATGTTGCTTGTACGTGTTCTCACGACTGAATCTAGTTTGACATATGTGCATCCCGCGTGCCAGATTAGCTCTTCGATTGAACTGTCCTCCATGCTCCCCCTGCTCTTGCCGCTGCCTGTGATGCTGCTCTGCCTCGCCTTCACTCAAGCCGTCCAAGCGCAGCCACAGCAAGAGTGAGAGATAGAGAGACACACACAGGAAGGGAGATAGAGAGAGAGAGTGTGAGAGCGACAGGGAAAAAAGAGAGAGAGTGAGAGAGAGAGAGATACAGAGAGAGAGAGAGAGTTAGCATGTTATCAAGTACGCACGCACACACACAGAAAGAGCAATATAAAGAAATGAGAGAGAGAGCGGGAGCGAGAGCGGGCAACAAGGGGAAAGCCCTGTCTCCACCAGACCTCGGCGGAGGCACCTCTCCAGGCCCCAGGCCGCAGAGGCGCCCAGTGACTTCCCGGGGCGGCCCCAAGAGGGTTCCTCATCCCACCTTGTTCATTCCCCTCTCCTCCTTCCCACAGGGAGTTGGGGCTGGACGCCAACCCACGTTCCGACAAGACGTCACTGAGCCTCCTCCTCCTCCTCCCGTGCTCCGCCGTCCTCCTCCTCCTCGCAAGACGTTGGCATCACAAAGTGCAATCAATTTAAGATTCCCTCTTCCTGCTCCACTGCTGTGCCTTCCGCATGATACTCACAACGAGTGCCCTCAGCGTCTGGAAGCACTGGGCCTCCTCCTGATCGTGTCAGCAATCGCCTCCCAATCGTCTCCCCCATCCTTCCCCTCCTTCTTGTCCCCCTCCTTCGCCTTCGTATGCCTCCCCCTCCTCCTCCGCCTACGCCCTCCCCCCATCCCCCCAGCGACGAGCATGCATTCAAATTGTCTCCTTCAGCAGCATCCCGTTCTGACATCTTCCCCACCTTTCCTCCATCCCTGCCTCCCCCGTCTTCCCCGTCCCTCTTCAGTCTTCCTTCCTCCCGCCTCCCTCTTCCGTCATCCATCCTTCTTGTTCGTAGTTGTTACCGTCGTCGTCTCTTCTGCTTTCTGTCGGGTAGATGCTGGCGTCGGCATTGCCGCGCATAGCTCTGGAGCTCTGTACTCGTCGTCGGTGTTGTCGTAGTCGCCGTCGTCTTCATCCCTGCCGTTTTCTGTCCTGGAGCACAGTCATGGCCATCGTCGCCGTCGTCATTCCCATCGGGTTCGTTCGTGTTGTCGTCTTCCACTCCGTCGTCGACCTCCTCCTCCTCGTCCTCCTCCTCGTCCTCTTCCTCGTCGTCGCCTCCACCTTCGCCGTCGCCCATATCGGCAGCGTCGTCGGCCTAGCCGCCCTGATCGCCGACTACGACGAGGAGGGAAGATGGAGCAGGGGGGTGAATTGGCGGCGAGCGAGGGGGGAAGTAACAAGGAGAAGGCCTTCTCAAAAGGCGGCGGGACTTCTCAGAAGCCCTCGCACCTTTTGAGAAGTATTATGTGTCCTCTGGGAGGGCCTGGCAAACTTTTCAAAAGACTGCAGGACTTCCGACCTTCTGGGAAGGCCCGCCCCTTCTCACTTCTCCCCCTCGCTCGCCGCTAAGTGAAGGCTTGGCGAGGGACGGTGACAGGGGGGGCAGACTACCAAATCGGGCTGCTGCCCAAGTGGAGGGGTCGAATCGTCCTTGGGTGGATGGGGAAGGGGACCTTCGCCGTCGTCGTCGGCACAGTCGCCCTCTCCGTCGTCTCGGTCGTTCCTGTCGCGCACGTCCAGTAGCATTCTCATTATTCTTGTCAGCGTCGTCGTAGCCGCCGCGTTCACAGCACCGTCGTCTTCTCCGTCGTGATCGTCTTCTATTTACCATGTTCCTCGCCGTTCTGTTCGTCGTCGTCGCCCATGTCGTCATTAGCGTCATCGTCGCAGTCGCATTTCGTCATTGACCGGCCGACCCGCCCGTCTGTGTCAGCCCGCTCGCTTGCTCGACATTCGGCCACTTTGATGCCCAAGCCGCCCGATCCGTTTGTCTTTGCCCGCCCGCTCGACCTGCCCGTGGGGGTCCGCCTGCCCGAACACCCCCGTTAGGTCCGCTCTCCCGACCCGCCCGGTTCCGCGTGCCTGACCCGCCTGTTAGGGTCCGTCCGTCCGATTGCTTCGAAGATCGCCATTCCTCTTGAACGTTCCGCCCGCCCGACCGGCCCAACCCGCAGTGACGAGCGGGTTTTCCACCACCACTACCATAGGTAGCAGAGTCAGAAGGAGGAGAGGGAGGAGGAGGAGGAGGAGGAGGAGGAGGAGGAGGAGCAGGAGCAGGAGCAGGAGCAGGAGCAGGAGCAGGAGCAGGAGGAGGAGGTCCTCCCCCTCCTCCTTTCCCCACCGTCTTGCCTATGGCAGTGGTGGTGGGAAGTCGGCCCATCACACAGTGGAGGCCTGCCCGGCCGCCCCACCCGTCTCCTGCCCCGCCCACCCGCCGGGGCCCACACGCCGGGGCCCGCCCGCTCGACCCGCGCGCTGTCGCCCGCGCCCCCCTCACCCCCCGCCTGCACCGCCAAGCCCGGCACGCCCTGCTCCCTTTCCCCTTCCCCCCCCCCCGCCCGCCCTCTCAGCCCCCCCCCCCCCCCCCCGCCTCTCCCCCTCCACCAACGCATGTGTGATGGTCGTGACCCCCGCACTGATCAACCAGTCGGTGAGGTCACTGCGGTTGACAATGTCAACGTTATATATGCCTTTCCTGCCCCTCACGATGTCTTTAATTTTCAGGCATTGTTTGATCCTGCATGGCTTTTAGAGGCCCCGTAGATTTCTCGGGTATACTTCGGAGGTGGGGTGGATGTAACGGTTCTGGCGCGTGTGCTGCCCACCGAGCCGCACGGGCGCGCCTAGGGATATCTGGTCTGTCTCGTCTGTCTGATGCTGGCAGGACTACTCGGATCCCCGACACCAGCCGCCAGAAGTGTTGTTCTGCATTACTCCCTTTCCTGGCCGCTACAGAGGACAGCTCCAGGAAGTAGGGTAGGCTGGGGATAAGTGGGTACAGAGGCGCTGAGAAGCAGGCACCCGTTCCGCCTGCGCCCACTTATCCCGTCTGTGCTTTTGTCATCCCTCCCCTGGCCAGGCTCGCAAAGAGAAGACTCTTGCTTGCCCGCCGCGCGGGGATAGCTGTGCACGCCTCTCTGTCTGTGCTTTCTCTCTACAGTCGGACAGTCGGACAGTCGAAATGTCTTATGGTTACGCGCCAGGGACTAGTAGGCTGAGGGTGAGTGGGTACAGAGGCGCTGAGAAGCAGGCACCCGTTCCGCCTGCGCCCACTCACCCTCCTTCTGTGCTGCTTTTGTCCTCCCCCCTGCCCAGGCTCGCAAAGAGAAGCAAAGAAATGTTGTTTCGCTTCCTGCTGCGGGGGGCGGCATGCTTTCTGCCTCTCTAGCCTTGCTCTCTGTAGTGTCCTGTGCCGATTCGTCAGGGTTCTAGGCTAGGATAAGGATGAGTGGGTACAGAGGCGCTGAGAAGCAGGCACCCGTACCGCCTGCGCCCACTCATCCTTTTTTGTGCTCGTTTTGTCCCTCCCCAGCCCAGGCTCGCGAAGAGAGGAAAGGCTCCTCCCGCCGCCGTGCTGACTCTGTCTTGGTTTTAACTCTGCTGCTGGCCAGAGGTTGAGGCTGGAAGCCCAGGAGCCAGGACGCGGGCTTCAAAGTGTCTCACCAGTCTTGCCAGCATCGCTTGTCTGTTCGGGCCCTCGATTTTCTCGTTGTCCCTGTTTGCTCGGTTCGGTCCTTCGCTCGGCTCTGTCGGGTCCTGGTCCGTCCCTCGTTTCTTCCGGCCCCTCTTCGGGCCCCTCGCTCGTCGTTTCGGCGCCACGGGCAGGAGTGCTCGGCAGACGATCACCCGCGCGCAAATCAAAAAAGTCCCCTCCCCGCCGCTCCCCGTCCACGTGCCCCCCCCCCCCCCCGTGTGTGCTGCTCCCCCTCTGTGCCAAGCTGGGCCTGCCCAGCCCCGCCGCTGCTCGACCGCCGCCGGACCCTCCTGCGGCCGCTGGCCGAGAAGCATCGCTCCCACCCTCCCCCCCTCGCCCTCGCCTCGCCGCGAGCTGAAAGTCGGGCCTGTCCCTCCTCCGCAGGGGGGATCTTCGAAAACGGTCCAAAAATAGTCGAGGGACTACTTTGTGAGTATGTTTGGGCATCTTTTGCATATTTTTGGGGGTATCTTCTGTTTTTCCTCCAAAATCCCCCTGTAGGGAGACACGCCCGACTCAACGCGAGCTCCGTGGCCCCTGACGGCCGGGGCAGCGCCGGGGACGTGCCGGCGCCGTTGGCGTCGCTGCCGCCGCGGCCCTCCGCGGCCAGGTGCGCCTTCTGCGCCAACCGCCGCGCGGCGCACTGCGCTCTGCGCGCCTGCAGCAGCTGCTGCCGGCTACGCACGGACAGGCCCGGCGTCGTCGTCGGCGTCGTCGTGGTGGGCGTCGGTGGCCTCGTGGGCGTCGGCGGCATCCTGCGCGTCGGTGGCTTCGTCGGCATCGTCATTTCCGTCGTCGGTTTGCTCGTCGTCGCCGCCATCGCCGCTCTCCTCGTGGCGGCGGCGGCACTGTGAAGCAGCAGGAGGCGGAGGAGTCTGAGGAGCAGGGGCGGGAGGAGCCGGATGGGATGGAGAATGAGAGGAGGCCGAGGAGAGTCAGGATGAAGAGGAGAGAGAGAGAGAGAGAGACACACACAGAGAGGAGTGAGGGAAAGAGAGAGAGAGAGAGGATAGAAGGAGAGAGGTAGAAATAAGGAGAGAGCTAGAGAGAAAGAGAGAGAATGAGAGACACAGAGTGAAACATAACTAGAGGAGACCATGAGGAGAGGCACGCTGGGTGTCTTCGCGGGACATCTGACATCCTGGATTGTCCCAGTGTATGTTCAGCGTTTGGCGCATCATCTCACATACCGAGGCGAGAGCACACTTCGGAACGTCCAAAGACGACTCAAATCTACCAACAACGCCCTGGACATAGCAAAGGTCGAAATCCCGAGTACATGAAGCCATACGCGGATGGGGCGGAAGCTTTTCGGGTGAACGCGCCTGCTGTGTGGAAGCTGCAGATCTACCGCTGGGGTGAACTGCTGGGTTGAGGGGGGCCGCGTGTGTTCAAGGACTCATGACCACGTGATCCCCGTTCATATCCAGCCCCTCTCCCCTTGGCGCTCCTCCCCCCGCGACGCCACCGATGCCGACGAAGACGCAGGCAAGCGACAACGTCGAGGACGAGGACGAGCACGACGTCGACGACGACGACCGCCGACGACGACGCCGACGACGACGACGCCGTCGACGACTTCGAAGCACGACGCCGCCGGCGACGAGGGCCACGCCGACCCCGCGAGGTGCGAGCGGCACCGCGAGCCGCTCTTCGAGGAGCCCCCCGACGCCGACGACCTGCCGGATGCCGGGGCCGCCCTGCGCCGCGAGCCGCAGCGGGCCCGTGCGACCGCGACGACGCCGGCGACGAGCACGACGACGAGCACGACGGCGGCGACGACGAGCGACGCGCTCGGAGGGGGAGGAGGCGCTGCCCTTCCAGCGTGTTCGCCTTCTCTCCGGCCTCCTCGGAGGCCCTCGTCGCCACCGCTGGATGCTCGGGGGCCCCCAAACGGGGTGGTGACCACACCGTGCGGTGCGTCGGTGGGGATTCGGGGTCACCGCACTGTTTTGGGACTCGGGTCGTTCTCCGAGGACGTCCTGGGCGACTGGGGCCTCCGAGGTCCCAAAACTGTGCGGTGACGGACCGTGCGGTGAGGCCGTGGGGGATTTCGAGGTCACCGCACGGTCTGTCACCTCACCGTTTCGGGACTCCAAAGATGCGCCTCGAAATCCTGGTCGGAACGCGCCCCGGGGCAGCGGTATTCTTTCAATTCCCCACACGCCCCGACGACGGCGAGGAGCGCAGCGGCGGCAGCGAGCACGACGACGGCGAGGGGCATGGCGGCGATGGCAGGCACGAGACGACGGCGAGGTGCACGACGGCACGACGGCGACGGGTCCTGCAGGACCCCCCCCCCTCCTGGGGCAGGTCGACGCGCGCCGCGACCTGCCCGGTGCTCGCGCAGGCGACGGTCGCCGCGGCCTGCAGCGGCCCGTTGCGGGCGACGCCCGCCAGCACCTGGGTCTGATTGACGCGGGCGGCACGCGCCGCGACATACAAGGGGTGCTCCAGGACCGTCGCCGCCGTCGTCGTTGCCGCCGTCATCGTCGTCGTCGTGATCCACGTGGTGGTCGTCGTCGTAGAGGCCGTCATGGTCGTGGTCGTGGTCGTCGTCATCGTCGTCGTCGGTTCGATCGTCGTCGCAGCTGGTCCTCGTAGAGGTCGTCATCATAATCGTGCTCGTCGTCATGCTTCTCGGCGTCGTGGTCGTTGCCGCCGTCCCCGTCACCGTCGTCGTTGTCGTCCTCCACTGGGGAGATCGTCCTCCTGCAGGAGATGCTGCGGAAGGAAGAGGGAGGAGGACGTTGCGCGATGGGCGGAAGATGGGCGGAGGAGGGGGAATTGAAGAGCTGTTCTCGCAGCGCACAGCTACAAGCAACACTTCCTAGGCGGAGGAGTAACTAGAAGGAGGCGACATCTCTTGACGAGGACAGAAGCTCAGGCAAGGGCGTTATCTGACAGCCACTGCAGGGGCTGACGGCCTGGTACCATACGGGGTTTACGTGCGCGAAGCCGCAGGCGTGTGGACCATCGCCGAGCGCGCCTTGAGCCTTGAGTGGGTCTTGGAGACTCAGGGTGTGCAGTCACCAGACTTGACTCAGCGCCGATGTGTCGCCTAGGTTGGCCAGATTCCCCGCCTTGATGGCTGCGGAGTGCCGGATGTTTGCCGCTCGAGCCGCGAGCGAGTTGCGGCATGTTAGCCGTCGCCCACATTACCGGGCTCTGGATTGACGATGGTGCCGAGGCCAAGCACGGTTGCAGCAGTGTCATCCGCAATTCCACCAGCACGAACATGGGGATACGCTATCGTAGAGGCCGCGCTGTGACCAGAGTGGCCAGATGGCAACTACCCTTACGGCAAGGATAACTGACAAATGTTCTGGCGTCCGAAGCAGAGATGCCCAGAGCGTGCCAAGCCGTGTGGCCCACAGGATAAAACAAACAATATCGAATTCGTTTCAGGTTGGCCCGCTTCTCATGGATGACGCGGGCCATCGGATTTCAGCACCACTTTTGCAGAAACATGTTTCGGATGCTGCGTTTCCCTCCGGGAGTGGCTGTGAGGCCGCGTGGCTTCGGTAATAGGACTATTATGCAGGTTGTCTGCGTGTGTGGACTATTGATGCTCTTTAACGCAAGCAGCAAATATCGGTTGCCCCAGTCGTGGAAGCAACCACATCTTTACAATAGGGAGAGATTCCGGAATACAGAAAGAGGGACAGAGAGGGAGAGAGGCAGGCAGACAGAGAGAGAGGGAGAAAGAGAGAGAGAGAGAGGGAAGCAAACAACAAACACACATCTTGGCGAAGAACCCAACCATATGCAGTTGCGGGTACCGCAATTTTGAATAGCTTCTTCGGTGGAGCTCCCTATAGGGCCACGAAGCGTTGCACTAGGTGGGGGGAACGCATGCGGGCGGTAGCACTGGGGCCTTTGGTGGAGCTCCCTATGGGGCCACGAAGAATTATAGTGGGTGGGTGAACATGCCAAATTGGGCGTGTTGGGCGCATGCGGGCGGTCCCACTAAAGGCTTCGGTGGAGCCTCCTATGGGGCCACGAAGGGCGAAAATGCAAAAGTGATCTTCCAGGACGCATGCGGACGGCACCACTGGGGGCTTCGGTGGAGCTCCCCATGGGGCCCCGAAGCGTTGCATTGGGTGGGCGAAAATGCCAAATTGGGTTTCCTGGGCGCACGCGGACGGTCCCATTGGGGGCTTCGGTAGAGCTATGGAGCCACGAAACATTCTACTGGGTGTGCGAAAATGTCGAATTTGCTTTCCGGGACGCATGCGGACGGTCCCATCGGGGGTTTCGGTTGAGCTCCCCATGGGGCCACGAAGCGCTGTACTGGGTGGGTGGACGTGCCAAATTGAGCTTCGGGTGCGCATGCGGACGGTCCCACTGGGGGCTTCGGTGGAGCTCCCCATGACGCCACGAAGCGCTGTACCGAGTGGGCGAAAATACCAAACGGGGCTTCCAGGATGCGGACGGTCCCAATGGGGGTTTCGATGGAGCTCCCTATGCGGCCACGAAGCGCTGTACTGGGTGGGTGAAACGCAGGGAGGAGGGACGAGGGGGAGGGGGAGGAAGGAGGAGGAAAGCGGGGACCGTCTCCTCAAAACGAAGACCCAACACCACATGATGGTTGGGGGGGGGGGGGAAGAGGCGCACGAACAACAAGGGGGTGTGGTGGAGAGCGCGGCAGAGGGAGAAAGAGAGAGAGAGAGAGATAGAGAGATAACAGGTTTAATCGAGAGCGGGGGAGCGAGAGAGAGAGAGAGATTGATGTACATATACACATATACATATGGAGAATTATAAGATGAACAAGAAAGAGAGAGAGAGAGAGAGAGAGAGAAAGAAAGAGAGAGAAACAGAGAGAGAGAGAGAGAAAAGGCATGCGATGTGTATACATATATAGGTATGTGTTGCGAAAGAGAGAGAGAGAGAGAGAGAGAGAGAGAGAGAAAAAAAAAGAGAGAGAGAGAGAGAGAGAGAGTGAGAGAGGGAGGGAGATACATGTAGGATGACAAAGAGTGAGAGACACAGAGAGACAGAGAGAGATGGAGAAGAGGAACAGGTGAAGCAAGAGTTGGAAGACGACAGGGAGGTGGAGGGGCCGGAGGAAGAGGAGGATCATCGAGACATAGAAGTACGACGTGTAACCATGATAATGGACAGTGGGAGAAGCATGAGGGTGTTGGGTGGGGATCGTCTGTAGGGTGTTTTCTGCCTCTGCTGGCGCAGGGGGCGGGTCCAACCGCCTCCCCCCCAAGAAAACAGAGGGGGGGTCCGGACCGAACATGGGAGAAGTCACAACCACTTAAAGCGGATTCCAACCATGTCGGTCCCAAGCCCAACCAATTGGCACCAATTACGGCCGCCTTCGAAGTTTTGTTTTTCCAAATTGTTTAGAGGTTTCTTAGGGGCTCCTTACACGCTCCTTAGAGGCTCTTTGGAAGAACCTTAAAAGCTCCTTCGAAGTTCCGTTGAAGTTCCTTGCGAGCTCTTTAGAAGCTCTTTCCGACTCCTCAGAAGGTCGTTGGCGTTCCCTGGACGTTCCTTAGAAGCTCCTGAGAGGCTCCTTAGAAGCTCCTTAGAGGCTCTTCAGAAGCTCCTTAGAGGCTTCGAGAAGCTCATTAGAAGCTTCTTTTGGTTCTCAGCAGAGGCTGTCTAGAAGCTCCCAAGAGGCCCCTGGGAGTCTCCTGAGAGGCTCCTTGGAGGCTCATTCGAGGCGCTTTCGAAGCTCCCTAGAGGCTTCGCAGAGGCCCTTGAACAGTTCCTTATAAGATTATTGAAAGCTCCGCTCCTTTGAAGTTCCTTAGAGGCGCTCGTTCGAGGGCCCGCAGCAGCTCTTCAGAAGCTCCTTTGAGGCTCATTCAAGGCTCCTTAGACGTTCCTTGGAAGCCTTTTCTGAGGCTCCTCAGAGGCTCTTCAGAGGAACTTCGAGCATTTCCGGAGGACTTCTGGTGGATATCTGGAGGATTTCCAAAGGATTGCTGGTGGATTCCAGAAGGATGTCCAGAGGATTTGTGGACACGTGGGGACTCATGGAGAACGACAAGGAGGGAGGGGGCAAGCAAGGAGGATGGACGGAGCGGCCGATGACAACGAAGATGATATATTGGGCTTTCGATACGTGCGTGTTTGAAAGGTGTGTAGATATGTAATGTGAATATATGTTGTTGTGATGAATATAGGTTGCTGCGTTGAGGTGGTGTGTAATTGCGACTTGTTGTTGCAAAACAGCACAGTCCCCGCATTCCAGAAAGTCATCTGGCACCAACTCGAACGGGAGCACTCATTTTTTCTCCCAGAATCAATGTGCACCCTTAAGACATTCATTTGATGTCTGGATCGTCTTAGAATGCCTTCGCTGTACACACAAGGCCCACTGTAGGCCCAAGATGGCCAGTTGTAAATGGTGCCAGTTGTTGGTTTTGGCTGGTTGAGAAGTGGCCAGATCGGTTGTAATTAGCACCAGTCGTCTGGGATGGGTCCGACATGCGGTCCGGACACCCCCTTCCAGGAAAATGCGCGGGGGGCCCGGGGCGCCCCTCCCCGCCCAGCAATTGCGCGGGGGGGTCAGACGCACCCCCCCCTCCCCCCGGGAAAATCCTTTGGACGGGGCGAACTCGGCCCTTCGCCCTATCGCGCGCATTCGCTGGCCCCAGGGATGCGCGGCGGACGCAGGCGCGAACGGCGCCGCGTCGCTGCGCTGCCCGCCCGCGTCGCGGCACGCCGCAGGCGATGCGGATAGGTCCGCATCCTTCCGCGCGGTTCCCGCGTCCGCCGCGGCGCTGCGGAGGTTCGCGGATTTGCGCGCGGGGCGCGGAGCGCGCGCCCCGCGCTCGGGATTTGGCCGCGGGGCGCGCGCGCGCGCGTGCAAGCCGTCGCCCCGCGCGCGTCGCTTCGCCCGGCGCGCGCCGTTGTGCCCCGCGCAGCAGCCTACCGCGGCCTGCCTATTCAGCGCGCGCGCCAGCGGACTGTCGCGCGCCGCCGCTCGCCTGATGCGCGCCGCCTTGCCCTGCGCTGCCGTCTGCCGCGCGGCCGCTCTGCGCGCGCGCTGGCAGTCGCCGCGCCGCGTGCCATTGTCGCGCCGGCCCCGCCCCCCCCCCCGCTCGCGCCGCCGTTTTCGTTCGCAGGTTCCTCTCCTCCTCCCGCCCCTCCCGCAGATGCCCACTTCCTCGTCGATCTGTTGGCCTCGAAGGTCGGCGTCGCTTCTCGCTCATTCGGTGCCATGTCTGGCGGCGAACGCTTCCGCGCATCGACTTGTCCCCGAGCTGCATCCGCCCTGGGTTCGCGCGCGCTCGATCTCGCGCGGCCTGGGGCCATCCGCGCCGCGTCCGAGCCTGGGTCGCACAACCGACCGCGCAGGGCCATTTCGACGCCATCGACGTCTGCGCCGCGCCCGCGCGAGCATCGCGAGCAAACGTCCGATTTTGGTCCGCCCCCGCGCCTGCGCCGCATCCGAACGAGGGTCGCGAGCAAGCGACCGAACGAGGTCCGCA